TAATTATCAACACATCTTGATTGCATGTTTGATCAATTTCAGACTGAAGTGGTTGATAGAATTCTTCAATTTCATCCTCACTGGCTTTAGTGGTTGGTGTGCAAATTTGAATAACAGTGGTATTAACTCGTCTTTGGCATATGGATATTATCCTGTGACAGTCAAAACTGTCCTTCAAGACAGATCTTGATATGCTCTTTTTGATGATGATTGCAATGTCATTCCTCTTCAAGTTGTCATTCCAAGCTCAGTAAACCATATGATTGTCAGATTCAAAATGGCCAATATCAGTTCATTTCACTAATGCTTAGGACATCAATGTTTATGCATTCCATTTCATTCTAAACAATTCCCAATTTTCTTAGATTCATAGTTTGTACATTCCATATTCCAATTATTAATGGATGTTTACAGCTGTTTCTCTTCATTTTGAGTTGTGCCTCATCAGCAAATAAAAGTCACGAGATCTTCACTCCATTAGCATCGCCATGATCAACTCTCCTTTGAGGAGGCAGCTCTTCCCCAGTTGTAGTCTGAATGTTTTCCAACCTGAAGGGCTCTTTTTTGGGCAATATATCTGACAATAAGGAGCTCTGGTAGCGTAGTGGTTACGAATCAGGCTGTGAATCTCAAGGTCAGCAGTTTGAAACTACCAGCTGCTCCGCGGGAGAAAGATGAGGCTTTCTGCTCTCGTAAAGATTTACAGCCTCGGAAACTCTGTTCAGGGTCACTATGGGTCGGAACCGACTCGATGGCACTTCCAGAAGCAACAACAATATCTGACAATATTCTGGTTCTCTTCATCATGTTTCAATAGTCCATATTCTGGTGCTATGTGACAGCGTTCCAGACGAAGACAGACTAGGAAGAAAGAGTGACTAACTACTTCCGAATAGTTAGTCACTGAAAACCTTATGAATAGCAGAGAAAGAAACACTAGGTAGAAAACCTTCCTCCTAGTCTGTCTTCATCTGGAAGCTAATGTGAAACCTGTCCACCATGGGTGACCCTGCTGCTATTTAAAATACCTATGGCATAGCTTCCAGAATCACAGCAACACTCTAGTAAGCCATCACAGTAGGACAAACTGACAGATGAGTGTTGGTTCTTCTGTGTAAGAGAGCTGAATGTTTTCCCCAAAGCTCATCAGACAGCAAGTTCCCCAGGTTGCCTGGGGAGGCAGGACTAGGAGACCTAACCATTCCACTCCTTTCTTAAAGCCTCCTGAGGTTCGCCCTGTGCAATTCCAGTGTGGTCCCATGGTCCACAATGAAGGAATGGATGGGTACACATATGGGTGGATGGGTAGATAGGAGGATGGGTGGATGGATGAATGTGTAGATGGAAGAAGAATTGAATGATGGATGGATAGAAGGAGGGATGCATGGATAGATGATAAAATGATGAATGAATAAATGAGTAGACACATGGAAGGATGGTTGGATGTATGGAAAGATAGATAGAAGGATGGATGGAAGGATGGATGGATGGA